ATTTCCTGAAAGAAAAGAAGGGCATGGAGGCAGAGAGGCTGTAAGGAACCATCAGTGGAACAGGGGCTAGTCTCTGCGTGTGCTCCAGTATCCCAAGAAAACACCAGGACACCTTCACCAGGATGCAGCGCTATATCTCGTTATTTCTCATTCTAGCAAAAGTTTTGGCACGTGAGTAATATGATTGATGGCCTACAGTGCTCAAAATTTTGGTCTGATAAAAGAGCCAGAATGATGCAGTGGTGATTTGATGTGAAGTAGCATAAAAGAGAGACAAGCCACACTCATTGTCCTTTACACAAAACTCCTTTTTTCACTGTCCTTATTTTCCCAGAGGATGCAGCACACACGAATGCCTTGTCACACACATATGTCCTTGTCATTATACCCCCCCTGCCAAGGGCCAGCTTTGCAAGACAATTTTCACCCTTCCACATAGCTGTCCAGTGCAAAACTGCTCTATTACATATGGTCCTCCACTTAAGCCTTCTGGGACTAAAGCTATTCATAGGTTTTCCACTGAAATGATGGAGAGGAATGAAATCTAGTTCTGGCATAGGGTCTCTTTTGGCCTTAGTCCCTCCCAGTTGGTAACTTCCTGCTCTTGCTTTTCCCCTCTCTGTGGGGGAAAAATAGCCCAAATAATCTACACAGAAGTTTAGCTGTTGAGTGAAATTTCACAGCTTTTTATGGGTTCCACAGAATGACTCAAAGAGCCTATTAATTTGCTTTTCAGATTTTTTAGGTTTAAAAAAGAAATGTCTAGCAAGTCCTAAAATCCTTCTACAGAGCCCGGCTGGTTATGTTCCTCTTGGAGGCAAGTCTTTTTGTTCCTCTCCTCGGCTAGAAACCCACCACCTCCACCATCTTAATTTAGATTTTACTTCTAACAGAGCAATGTGAGCTGCACCACAGCTTCCTCAAGGGACTGCATGCTGGTCCCCATGAAAAGCAGCCCAGAGTGAAATCTCCAGGACCCAGGGAGAATGAGGGATGAGCTCTATGCTGCATCAAATGGATATGTGCTCTCTCCCTAGCAAAGACCCCTTAGGCCTCTCAATTTCCTTGGTTCAAGCTCAGGACCAGCACAGCTTCATTTTAACTTAGACTTCCCTGTCAAAACTAGACCAAGCAAACGCAGAAGGTCCATCCAGTCCTGGAATTAACTTAATTTTACTTCGGAGAGAGAAGGTTGGGGGAAAAAAAACAGTCTGTGAGTCTCTGAAAAATGCTGATTAAATACAACTTGGCAACAAACCATTATGGAGCATCTCTTGCCAAACATGATCTGGTACTTGCAACTTCCACTGAATTTCATTCCTATTGTAGCTGAACTTGGGGGAAATGACAGGGGAAGGATATTAATATATTAGGGGTTGAGAGAGAGCTGTTTTTCAAGTGAGACAGGAGCAATGAGTGTTTCGAGCCCCTCATACTTCAGTGAAATCCAATTTTCTGTCACAAATGTTGCACTAAAGAAAGAATGCACTTGGAAGTCAGAACCTGGGATGCTAAGCAGCATCTATAAAATGCCTGGAAGATGAATACTCTCTGTGCCCCTGTTGATTGCAAATGTAGCCTTCAGCCTGCAGCAGGAGCAAACATTAGCCACTGGTGCAAGGCTTTGTACTCAGAGGGCTTTGCAGAGAATCCAAATTGCAGCTTATAGTTCCCTGCAAAGGCTGAAGAAAATGGCTGTGAATTCCCATGCTCAGGAGCAACGTGTGCCTTTAAACATTTCATAAAAGTAGGGATCTCTGCTGAGACAACAGCTCACAAAGGCAGGCTCAGTCTTCAGCTGACATAAGCTCTGGCCAGCAAATTTCTGTGCTTAATCCTTGGAGAGTCCCCTGTGTCATGCCTGCTGGCAAGCTCCAGTTGGCTCTGAGACCCAAAGGGTACATGGAGGGAATCCACGTGATGGGTTACAAGCCTGGATTGTTTGGGATGGGATGGCAATCTGTAATCTTCTGACCAAATTTGTCCTGCCAGAGAACATGACAATAATAACAGCCCTCTTTAAGGATAAAGGCAAATCCCAGCACTGAGATTGGTGGGATCTCTAAGTTCTTTGCAGCTTAATCACAGCAAAGCAGTCAACCATGAGGTTAGCTCTAAAGGGGTGTGTGACAAATGTGCTGGCCTTGAAATACAGCAAGCCTACAGCTATTTATTATCTCCTGGCTGTTCTGCAGGAAAGAGACCATGGTGATAGCAGAAAGATGCTGCTGCCCCTGCTTCTCAAATCCAACACCCTGAAAGCATTAATGGAAAGATTCCCATTGTCACCCCCACTGAGAACTGTTCCTTAAGTCCTCCTTGGACTGAAATATTTCATTAGCTTTGGCTGAAATGCATATAGCTAAGTCCTCAGACTGGGTCCAGAAGTAATATGCCTTTTACCTCCTGCCCAATTCACCCCTATAAACAAATCAGAGATACACTTGAACCATGTCATAAACCATTCCTGGCTTAAATTTATGCAGTCTTAATAGCATTGCATTCAGAATAAACTTCCAAGAGAGATAAACACAGTTAGAAAATAAGGCTTTTGCTCTCCTGGAAACAAAATATATTCTTTTGTCACTACTAAATAATGAGAACATTAGTTCAAAACATCAGAAAACATTTCATACAAGTAGGAGAAGGATTTAGTAAAAAAGAGTATGTAATGGCAACTCTTTTCTATCCAGGGTAAAACCACCTGGGTGAAGCCATGCCACACCAGACACCAGCATGTGGTCCTAGCTGTCACTTCTGCCTTCCCATCCTAGGAATGGGAGCCATGGACAAGCACAAAAGCCTGTTTCTTAAAATAGGGTCGGTGACCTGAATGCAGGAGCCGCTGGAGCTTGAAGCTTTGTTTTATTAATCAGTTTTTATGCATTTACTTGAGGATTAACATAGGCTGCCAGCTTTATCAGCATTAATTTAGAGTACCTTGAGCTATTGAGGACAGAGCTGTCTGCTGCTCACACAGTGTCAGCACACCACCCGCTCAAGATTAAGGCACCATTAGGACAAAATGAACACTTCAGACCCACACTGCTTGCTACAGCTCTGCACTGTGGCACACCAGAGGGGAAAGGGAATACGCCAGAGGGAACAGTACTTGCAGGTTATTTGCAGCCAGAGGGTGCCTGGGGCTGTGAGGCTTAACGAGCAGCAAGCCCTGTGTGCTGCTGTCCCCCCACAGCAAATCTGATGTCTCCACAGGAGAGCACAACTTCCCAACAGCACAGAGGCCCCCAGAGCTCAGTACCTGAAGCATCTCTAAAACACAGCACTAAAAAGAATAGGACATATGTCCTCCAGACTGTGGTACAGAGGCTCAGCAGACATCCTTGCAGCTCATTCCACTGCAGCTCAGCCCCCTCCTGGCTGCCTAAACACCTCTTGCCAGATTCAGTCCAGCAAGCCTGGAGGGGCACTCTCTCCCCTTCCATCCTACCTTTACTTTCAGTGGAGCTTCTGCCATGGCAAAGGTTTCTGAGCTGCAGCAATCCACACAGACACCAGGAACCATCTTGGGGGCGGAAGGTTCTGCGGCACAGTTTGTTTACAGCCTCAGCCAGCCAGCTGTAGCTGTAACAGTGCAGCAATTAACACCTCCCTAGCTGAGCATTTAATTGTTCTCTGCTGCAGACGGACACCTGGACAAAGATGTGCTAGAAGAGCTGAACATCTCCAGACATTATCTAAATCCAAGGGCCCTGAATCAAGGATCACCACCCACACTGGCAAACATCTCCTGACTGAATCCAGTCACCAAGTCAGGTGTTAGTAAAAGGCCTGTAACAAACCTCTGACACTATTCAAGCAGCTCATACACCTGTGGAGTGTAACTACCTAGTCTTAATCTAAAGCACCTGTCTGGCATGGGCCAGAAAAACAGTTTGGGATCTTGAAGCAGAAGGACTGGGAACTGTGATCAGATGAGAGGGACAGTTTAGACTCTGGGAGTGACTGAGCATCCACAGAGGCCTCTTCTTGGCAGAACATATGGCAGACCTGGAAGAGCAACTGTACTCTTGTGTTTGTCTACAGTACACATCATTTCCTCTGGGATGCAATTGTGAGATGAGAACAAACTAAATTCAGAGGTACATACACCAACTCCACAGCAACATTGGCACTCTAGCGTAAAACAAAAGGCACAAAGCTCTAGAAAGTCACTCCAAGAGGATGTAATGAAATAGCAGCTATGGTTTGTCCAAATCAAGTTTCTTTAGACCCAAGTCTTACTTGATCCAAGAGGTTGTTTTGCCAACACTGAAGAAAAGAATGAAGGACTGCCTTGGGTGAGGCACATTTCTTGGCTGAAAACCACAGTTCCAAGACCACCAGAGTTTTACCTCAGGCATGCACATGGTTTGGGACCTCTCCTACAACAGCTCACTGATCTCTGCCAGATGCTGCAGCCCTCCCGGATCAGTAGCCTCTTACCATATCTCAGTTACAATCAACTGCATCTCTTTTCTCGCTTCCTTTGGATGGAAGGAGGTTTGAGAGGACCTACCTGATCCCCCGCAGTCATATTGGAGGGGGCAGTCACAGCATGTGGGGGCCAGCAGCTTCAGCCAGAACCACAGCAGCTGGAAAAAAATATGAGATAAAGTTATAAACCAGGAAATATTTTCCCAGGGTGAGGTACCTTCTTGGCTGGCCATACCTAGGGCCAGCATATCTGGGCTGCCTACTTCTTAGGGACTTTGTGTGAGATGGTGTCATGCATTTGTTCCACTTAGATTTTGGCATGTGTCAGTCAGAGAAATTACTTCTGGACTCATGATTCTGCTGCTCATACAGATGAGGGGAAATCTCCTGATGTACTGTTTGGGTCTAAGACAAAAGCTCCCTTGAGAAAACAGCTTGTGACCTATGGAAAGGGTAGGTTATGCAGTCAGTGCTGGCTAGCCTGCTCCCTTGCAGGAGGGCACTGCCACCAAAGGGAATGAACCAGCAGGTACTTACCAGTGCTCTGCACAGGCAGGTGGGACTGCAGACCTCTGCCTTCATCAAGTGCCCGAACAACAGAAATGAGGAGTCACACAAAGACACTGAAGTTCTCCAGGAGCAACTGTTATGGAGATGTACAGAGCACTAAGGCACAAACCCTCTGAGCACCACCTAAGGAAGCTGGTGTGGTACTGAAAAACAGCTGGCCAGCAAACCAGGTACTGCATGGGGCTGGGAGCCAAGTTAATGCAGTTTCTGAATTGCAGCTGGCTCCACTTTCACTGGCTCAGGACACAGGCAGTGGCCTGTGTGCCCACCCCCAGCCCCTTCACCATGCTCTGGGACAGTCACCATCAGCTAGAGCAGTGACAGTGGCTGATGCTCAGTGGCAAATAAAGACTTCTCAGGGACAAGCTCCCCATTCATCGTTGCTTTGAATCAATCAATCAATCAATCAATCAATCCCTCCTTCTCTCTAGGAGGGCTGCCAGAGAGTAAGATGATTGCTCTCATGCCACCTTGTGTGACTCACCAGAGAGAAAAGGGCACAGCAGTACAGGGAGGATAATTACTCTTTTTTTGTGAGTTGGTGCCTGGTTTCAGTGTATTTAAGTGTTGTTTAAGTGTCTAGTTCTTGGCCATTGTATTCAATCTTATTTTTATTAGGGTCTTAAAATTTTTACAGCATGGAGAAGTTTGTACCTCAATGGGAGCTTTCAGAATACAGTGAAAAAAAACCCATAAAAGAGAGAAGTACAGGTTGCTCCCTGGCATTTACCTATAGTGCTCTTCTCTTGCCTCATTAACTTTATAAGCATCCAGGTTTTCTAGAAATCATGGTAATTTATACTAAATCAGTAAAGCAAGTGAGCTAAAATGCAAACATGCCAAGGCCACTCTTTCCACCATGCATGTTGCTGCAGAGAGAAAACTGGTTGCTTGAGGGAGGGACAGCTGTCAAGGCCACCACAGCTGTGCTATTTCCCTGACAAACATCTCACTGGGAATGTCCCCAGGGAAGCTGTGGGTGGGGATATGAATACAAAACTCCTATGGGCACCTGGAGTCTGGGATGTCTGCAAATCTGTGGATCCAGGTGTGCAATATCCTGTCTTGGGTGCACTTTCTTCTTTCTGTAGTATACCCCCCTCAATTTGTTCAAGTGGTTCAAGTCTAAGGAAGGAAAAAGGCCAGCCTGTTTTGCTTTGTGGGCTATATTTCTATGGGATGCTGCTCCTTAAAGAGCACAGCTGCATTGCTGCCAGGCAAACACGCCCGTCCGCAGGGCTCAAGTTTGTTCTCTATGGGTGGCCAGACCATATTCTCTAAAAAACATCCAAAAAACACCCTAAACTTAAGAAAAAAAGTACCAACAGACATGTAAGCACTTCCACATTCCCCCACTTGCTTGTTCTGCATAAACAGCAGAATTTTATTTTTCTTTCTACCACATGCATTTTTACCAGCTGTATATCACTCCTGTTTTAGAAGACATTGCACAGAGAGAAAAAAGGAGGCTGCAAAGAGACTTTGCTTTTTATTGATGGAGAAATACATTATCAGGTGTGGTTCACAGGGTTAGCTAGTCCCTCTAGTCTACCAAGGAGGAGATTTCAAGACTTTGCAGATTTGTTTCCCTATTTCTTTGACCAAGTAGGTGATTAAAATTGAAACATATTGAAGTCCATCCAGCCCACTATCCACTCTTCCCTGGGAAGGACAGCAATGAATGCTAGGAAATAAAAAAGAGCATACCTATAAGAAGTCCTACGTGTTCAACTTCCTCTTATGTGGGTTGCTGCTCATGTTACTGTTTGCTTCCAATGGGCAGTCATATCAATACCACTTCTAAGCAGGAAAAGTAGATTTCAGAAAGAATATTGTTCAGCATTATCGAACAGACTTCCTCCCCCTCCCCCCTCAACCCTTTTTTACCAAAAAAGAGCTCATCTAGCAGGGACTTTACCTTTCTTAGCTAGAGGACACAGATGGGCTCCTCTGCACCACAGGTCAGGAGTGCTGGGTAGCAGTGAGAGGATCTGCAAAGAACTATCAGGATATCACAAGCCAGTTTTACTGAGTCTCACTCTGCATTACTCTCTGAGAATACATAATTTCTCTATTTTTAAAAGCACGAAGAGACAACAATACCATAATTACCTTCGAAAGGTATCAAAAAGCTTAATGAGGTAATATTTGTAAAGCACTAAATGATCTTTGAATACTGTGAGTGCTTTTGTAGCTTTACTTTGTCTGTGGTGGTTATTCAAAAAATACTGAAATGAAGGGCAGAATTTGAAAGTGACTATTTCCACAGACATCAGCATCCCCCAAACCTGCTTGTATGAGCATGCTCTGAGGTAGTTAATATTTGCCAGGTGTTGAAATGCTCAGACACATTTCTCCCCAAGGTATTTAGAACTGTGATCTGTGGAGGCAAATGAAAGGGATATACTAGGAAACACATTAGAGTTCTTCCTGTGATCTTGTGATTTCTTTCCCTTAATGCTTTTGCACAGTTTCAAACCAATGATTAACTTTCCACTGGCAAAGTCAGGGCTCTAAATGTCTGGGGGAACTTGCTAGACGTGCTCCTGCACTCGTGTTTGGGCTGAGCTGGCTCACGCGCTGCCCCGGTGCTGACGCGGAGCGGGAGCGCGCAGGCCAGAAGCGTGCTGCTGGTGCAGGTAAAGGCCAGGAGAAACTTCTCCTGCACAGACACTAAACTGGGCCTTTTTACCTCCACACTAACTGATCAAACAGATTAGGCAAGGCTGGAGTCAGCTGCCTGTGCTGCAGGCTGGCTGCCTGCAGGGCACGAGGCTCCCGAGGCGCAGGATACTCAGGTGACATTCCCCTGGGTCCCCTCAAGACAAGCAAGAACAAGGATCCTCAGGGGGAAGATGAAGGAACTTCTGCAAAACAATATCTCCAACACAACCAAGAAAACACCCAATAAAACAACAACAACAACAAATCAGCCAGGAATTTAAGAGCGGTCGAGGATCTGGAAATGGTGGTGGCTGTGGCAGATCACCACGGATGGGAGTGGGGGGGAAGCCTGCTGGGGCAGCAGGACATTGAGCCACTGCTCTGACATGGTTGGTAGGGGCTAACAGAAGCCAGAAGAGCAGAAAGAAACTGCATGGTTTTCACCCTTCATTGATGGTGACTGTGTTGGCTTTGTAGCCCCCAGGATGCTGGTCATGGAGCGGTGACACACACAGCGTGCCACCAGTGCTCCATGGTTTGCTCACCAGCTGATCTCAGCTCTCAGCAGTTGATAAAATATGGGGAGCAGAGGTGTGTATGGTAAAGCTCAGTGTTTTTCCACTTGTGTTCAGCCATGCTGGAGCTCAGCTTCTGCCTTAGGCTCCTTCATACAATGGGTGGTATGCCAATAAAATTGCTCTCAGGAGAAAATTCTACTGGGTGAGGCGAAGAGTGGCAGAATGAGGTTCTTAACAATCTTGATAGAGGCTGTAAGCAGTCTAAAGAGAAGCCTAATTCAGATGCCTCAGTATGCAGCCTTTTTGATTACACCCACAAACCACCCACAACCTCCAAATTGCTATTCTTTAGAAACACCCTGCAGCACTTTCTGGTTTCCAACATACAGCAGTGCTCTGGGCTTAGCTGCTGGATTTGTGCATGCACATGCAAAAATAACTAATGGAGAGCTTGATCAGACAGCAGGATCTTTTCTCAAATGACACATTTTAGTAATAAAGGAAATGTATTCTGTTATCCTGCTAGCATGGAATAATGAAACCATAGCTTTCTCTTCCCAGCTTTTTTCCCTTCCTCTGTCTTGAGTGTTGCAGAGCAGAAATGATCCTTGGCTTGTAGGTTGCAGCAGCCCACAGGAGTTTTAAGAATAGTGTCAGAAACCCACAAAGCCATGCTGTTAATTGGGGACTGGGTCATTGGTGACACTTTGGAGAGCTGTGCTCTCATTCCAAAGCAGCAAGGTTCCCTGCAGCTGCCAAAGCCTGACATTTCCATGCAGAGGGAGGAGGGTCCCGTGTTGCTGAGCCTCGTTTGTTTGGCAGCTTTGTCAAGCACACCATGGCCTGGGAGACCAAACCCTCCTTCCTGCGGGTCCATGCCCACAATCTCTGCCCCTCCACTCCTCTGGGAGGTGCTGCTGTCACAAGGACCAGTGACCATGATGTTTCTGTGTTTTCTTTGTAAGATGTGTGTGCTGCTACTCAAATCTCTGTCTTCACACTGCTGCCTGTATTGCCCAACTCTGTAACTCTCAAAGCAGAAGGTGAAAGGAAAACAAGAGGCTGATATTTAGGCCACCTTGTGAACTTCTGTTTTGTTTCTGGGGCAGCTGGGGTTTCCTTTTAATTGCAATCTCAATTTAAGGCGCAGACAGAGGGAGATCCAAGGGGAAAAAGAAAACCTCAACTAATTTTCTTCCCTTCCTGGCTATTAAGTGTGGTTTAAGAACAAAGTCTTCCCACAGAGCTTCTGTAATCACAAATAAGAGAGACAAGAAAATAAAAGTTATGCTCCTGCTAACACTCCTGGGTTTTAAAAGTTTGAAAAATATTTCAGTGTTCTACTCATGTTTTTATGAATCTCAGACCTCAATATTACCTCTTGTAACCACCATCCACACACAGACCTAATAAGGTGGAAAACTCCAGAATCTACAAGAGCTCCAGAGATATCAGAGATAGAGAAGCATTGCTGGTAGAGAGCTGGCTTCTGCTGTCGTGTCAGAAGTAACTGGGGAGGTATAACTACACATTTATCAGCCTTTTCATCAAAGGAAACTGATAGCATGAAATGCAACTTGTTCTCTGTGATGCAAACTCATCAAAACAAGAGCACAGGAATCTCATCAGCTCAAGCTTACTCTCAAACAAGGCTCCCTCCAAGGCTGCCCCCCAGACTTCTGCCTCCTTGGCTCCCAGCTCTTCAAATGAGCCTCCCCTGCCAGCCCCATGGCAGGAGAAAATCCCATCCTTGCTCTCTCAGAGAATTTTCCCAGTGCAACTCACGCCTACACATATAGCTCAGTTTCTTGCCTCACTAATGATTCTATAAGCCATCTCAGAGGCCAGCTGCCAGAAGCTGATGTCTCTGCAAAGTGAGAATTGTTTGGAGCATGCAGGAAGGTACTGTGTTCTCCTAGCAACCAAAGTTGTAAAATAATGTAATCATATCCAAGATAATGTGATAAAAGATTATATGATGCTTGTATCAGGTTGTTATGGCAACTGAAATAAGCTTAAATGCGTGTATCCAGCGTTTCAAACAAATAATGTAATTGTCTGCAAAATTACCTTCCTAATTAACCCCATTCAGTTTGCCATCCTCTCCATTCATATAAGCCTACTACAGGGCTGCTGTGAAACCTTATTTTCATAGAATCATAGAATGGTTTGGGTTGACAGGGACCTTAAAGACCATCCAGTTCCAACCCCTTTGCCATGGTCAGTGACACCTTCCACTAGACAAGGTTGCTCAGAGCTCCATCCAGCCTGGCTTGAACAATGCCAGGGATAAGCCATCCACAGCTTTTCTGAGCAGTCTGTTCCAGTGCCCCACCATACTCACAGTAAAAAATTTTTATTGTGCCTGATCTAAACCTACCCTTTTCTAGTTAGAATCCATTCACCTTTGTCCTGTCAGCACAGGCTCCTGTAAAAGGCCCTCTCCACCTTTCTTGTGATCTGTGCATCCTCACCCACCAGCACTCCAAGGCCTTCTCAAGGGCTGCTCTTGGTCTGTCCATCCCCAGCCTGTGCTGGTACCAGGGGTTGCTCTGACCCATGTGCAGCATCTTGCACTTGGTCTTGTTAAACCTTATGAGATTTCCATGGGCCCACTTCTCCGGCTTGTCCAGGTCCCTCTTCAGGTGTGTCAGCAGCACCACTCAGCCTGGTGTCATCTGCAGCTGTGCTGAGGGTGCACTCAATCCCCCTGCCTATGCCATTAGTGAAGATGTTTAATAACACTGGTGCCAGTACAGACACCCAACTCTGACATCCACTGACCCCTCAGACCATTGATCACCACCCTCTGGATCTGCCCATCCAGCCACTTTTGTATCCAACAGTCCACACATCAAATCCCCCTCTCTCCAATTTAGAGAGAAGGAGGTTGTGGGAGACCCTGTCAAAGCTTTACAGAAGTCCAGATAAATGGCATCTGCAACCCTTCCCTTGTCCACTGATGCAGTCCCTCCATCATAGAAGACCACTGGGCTGGTCAGGCAGACCTTCCCTTGGTGAAGTTGTGCTGGCTGTCCCAAATCACCTCCCTGTTTTCCATGTGATTTAGCACACCTTCTAGAAGAATCTGTTCCATGATCTCACCAAACACAGAGGTGAGGCAGACAGGCCAGTAGTTCCCAGGCTCCTCTTTTCTACCCTTTTTAAAGATGGGTAAAATGTTTCTCTTTTTCCTTTCACTTGGGACTTCACCTGACTGCCATGACTTGTCAAAAAGCATGGAGATTGGCTTGGCAACTACATCAGCAAATTCCTTAGGACTGCGGGATGCATCTCATTAGATCCCATAGACTTAAGCACACTCAGACTGTCATGAACCAGGTCTTTACTCACCATGGGAGGGCCTTTGCTCCCTGGTTCCCATCCTGCTGTCCATCCACGCGAGAGGTGTGGGAAGAGAGGTTGCCGTTGAACACCGAGGCAAAAAGTTCTTGAGTACCTTAGCCTTCTCCTCATCCATTGTTACCATTTTCCCAGCATAGCTTACCTGTGAGGGGAGGAGGGGCATTGCACCTTCTCTGACCACTTTCAAGGCCTTTATCCTGCCTCTGCCCAACCCTGTTTTTATTTTGTTTGAAACCTTTTTTTTGACCCTGCTGATGTAAAATTTGTTATTTCATCCCTGCATGTTTGAGTCAACACCTATTTGCATTTCAGTGCATCATCTAACATGGACTTATTTTTTTTCCTTTTCAAAAAAATGTTGCTGCTTAGGGAAATGTCATAAAGTGGTGAGATTTACTTAACTCCTCCCCTTCCCTGTATCTTGATGAATAACCAAAACAGAACTTCCAGGAAG